ACACACACACACACACACACACATCAAACTTCACTCAGTGCCCTTTGAAGAAAAGCCACTGACAAAGAGCTTTTGTTTTTCAACTCAATAAACCTTCTTTGGCTTATTTACAGCACACAACATTTGCATATTCTTCACACTCAGGCCGCTGTGAAATGAAGCTTTGTTTTATAACTTTGAAGACAGGAATATAATTTGTCAACAACAGCAAAAATACATTTACAAAAATCAGCAGTAAAAACAAAAGAATTTTAATAACGTTCATACTTTTCTATGCACAAAAGCATGTAGGCATTAAAAATGAGTGCTTCACACACACACGCACACACACACACACACACACAGCTAATTACATTTCACTGTCTGGATTTGTGCTGAAACATGAAGCTTATTTCTCGTAATTAAAACCAGCTACATCAGAGAATTGGCTCCACAGAGTCAAATATAGCAGTTTGATAAGATTTAGCCATTTCCTGCATGCATGTAACATCCACCATATTCACCTCAAACCATAATTGGTCTGAAACTGTGCTAATCCCATTCTGCACGCTTGTACATTCGTATAGGGAAAAAAAAAAGAAATAGTTCCCGAGCTTCACTCTGAAATTCTATTTGAATTCACTCGCCTGCATTCAGCTTCATCCCAGTCCAACATCTTTTCAAGCTTGATAAAAAAAACTTACTGTGCATAATTTATAAGTATTGACATTAGAAAACAGCATTCACTTGTAGGATGCTTGAAAGTAAAAAATGGCTTTTTCCCCCAAAACATTGTCATTGTTAAATCTGTGAGATTTTACTGTCAGATGCACAAATGTCTTCTAAAATCTGTTAAATCTGTTTATTGTTTTGTTTGTTTGTTTTTTTCAAAAATCTCTGACTTCGTTGGGCACCTACTTAAACTGCTGTGTGGGCTACATGACAGTATTTCCATGGCCGTGCTCTTACTCTACTACTGACAAACAAAATAGTCGATTTACTGAAATAACTGAATAATTAATTCATGGCTTAAATAAGTTATGAAGCAAAAACAGTGGCTGCAGAGCATAATAAATTACACATTCACCTTACAAGTGATTCATGTTTGATTCTAGGCGGAGACACAAAGAGAATGCTGTGTAAAAATCAGCCAATTAAAACATGTGGAACCACCAGCTGTTGTGATGCTTTGTAAATAAGGAAACAACAAAAATAATCTTTTTTTTTTCATTAAGCGAAAATGTTACAAAAACATCTAAATAATGGTGCGATTTTCTTAAATGTGACAATTCTGGGTTTCTGTCAGTGTATTACAAGCCCTGTGGCTAGCCTGGCCCACATTTGCACCCACTGTATTTAAGCACACGTGGAAGGTATTCAAAGAAGGACATCAGTAACATCAACCTTTGATTAGTCAAGTCCTGTTGTGAAGTTTCAAGTTGAGCATTTTGGGTGACTGAGACTCTCTGGGACACAAAATGCTCTTAGGCTTGTATCTTGCCAATAATTAATGAAAGAACATGCTGTTTATAGCTTTTAAGTCTGTAAATCATTGAAGTCCAAAGGTTATTTCCCCATAGGTTTGCATACACTTACACTCAGCTTTCTTCACCACGATGGACCAGTACAGCATCTGAACCACTGCAGCCGTGGCCCCAATCCTGTCAGTGTCTCGCTCCCTTCTCCTCCCTCATAAACAAGACCCCGAGACTCCTAAACTTCTCCTTCACTTCAGTTGGGTACTCCACCCTTTCCTGGCTGAGTATCATGGCCTCAGATGCGGTGGTGATATTTCTCATTCCAGCCACAAACGGCAGTGAACCGGTCCAG